TATTTCCTGATTTAATGAAGCATATTGGTTTTTAAAAAGTAGAAAATAAGTTTTATAAAATAAGTCCGTTGTGGTTGTTACTATAAATGAAACAAACAAAAAAAAAGAGACTCAGACCAATTATCGACTAGATGGTCACACCTTCATTGGATGGAGGATTCAAAGAAATCTCTTCTAAGAATGTGACATTCATGCTGAAGCCTGGAGGAAATAGCTATAATGAGAAATCACAGGAAGGTATCTTAGGAAAAGGATACAGAGAATAAGTGGCAGGTGGTATATTAAGATAATACAAATTAAATTGCAATGACAAACTCTAAAATCTCAGTGGCTTGACAAAAGCAGTTTATTTTTGTTTATACAAAGTCCAGTGTGGGCCGCACAGATCTCCTCCATCTTGCAGTCATAGCATGACTGAACTATGTGCTTGCTAAGATTACCATAACAAGAGGATTGAAAAATCTTGTAAAATGTCGTTCGGGGGACCAGCAGTTGGTGTAACGGCTGTCATTGGACTCCTATGTAGTCAACCGCAGTTCAAGGCCTGGAGCTGGTGGCTTCAACTCACGCCAGGTGCATGTGCATGTGTGCCCAGAATCCCAAGAGGAGAATGGAGGAGAAGGGATTGCGGCATGGCCATCCCCCCGGGGGGAGGGGGTGATTTCTTGCTTTCTGTCTCTCTGTCTCTCTCTGTCTTTCTGGTGAGCTCACACATCCTATAGCAAAAACCTCTCCCCCCCAAAAAAATATTGTCGTTCAGGGCCATTGGCCAGAGCCCAGTCACATGACACCAACCTACTGCAACAAAGGACAAAATGAGGGAGGAGCATATGGATTCCCAATGAGCACCAACAGCCTCCATCACTGTTTGAAATGGCCACGTCACCTTAACCTCTTCTCCCCACATATCAAACACATTCAATTCCTTTCCAAAAGACAAAATCCAAAATCCAACCCAACTAGGAGCCCAGCATTCCTGAGCAGTGTATGACCCTCACCATCAGGTCCAGGTGTAAGTCTCCTTGGTCTGACAATCTAGGAATTAAAAAGGTGAACTATTCATTCAACCATGCAAACATACTAGGTCAACAAGAAAGTAACTGTAACAAATATTCTTATTTTGGAAAAGACCAGCAAACATTGGTCCAGAGGTGCTGAAATGTCATTAAGCCCACATGTCAAGTTCTTGCCTTAAGTCTAATGGGGAACCCTAGCTGAGGCCCTAATCCTGCTCTCTGAAAAGAATTTCTTTTCTTTTCTTTTCTTTTCTTTCTTTCTTTCTTTCTTTCTTTCTTCTTTCTTTCTTTCTTTCTTTCTTTCTTCTTTCTTTCTTTCTTTCTTTCTTTCTTCTTTCTTTCTTTCTTTCTTTCTTTCTTCTTTCTTTCTTTCTTTCTTTCTTTCTTCTTTCTTTCTTTCTTTCTTTCTTTCTTCTTTCTTTCTTTCTTTCTTTCTTTCTTCTTTCTTTCTTTCTTTCTTTCTTTCTTCTTTCTTTCTTTCTTTCTTTCTTTCTTCTTTCTTTCTTTCTTTCTTTCTTTCTTCTTTCTTTCTTTCTTTCTTTCTTTCTTCTTTCTTTCTTTCTTTCTTTCTTTCTTCCTTCCTTCCTTCCTTCCTTCCTTCCTTCTCTCTCTCTCTCTCTCTCTCTCTCTCTTTCTTTCTTTCTTTTGTCTTTGAGAGATTTTTGCTATAGAGTGCATGCACTCACTGGACAGACACAGAGGGACAGAGAGACAGAAAGCGAGAAATCACCCCCAAATCCCTTCTCCATTCTCCTCTCGGGATCTTGGGTACACACACACACATGCCTGGCATGAGTTTCAAGTCACCGGGTCTAAGACTCGAACCACAGTAGACTACGTGGGAGTCCAGTGATGTAAATGCTATGCCATCTGCGGGTCCCTCTCCAAGATGAATTTCTTTGCCCTTTGCTCTCTGTGACTCCTGAACCCCTTCCTCTTGATGCTTACTGCTTAGCCATGATAGTCCTTGGCCATATTAGAAACTGATGTTTAGGAATGTGGCCTTGAAACCTACTTCCCTTCATGGATGATTGGAACATCAAAGATTGTTTTACAGAGCAATCAGAGGCTTCACTGGCCTAGGTCCAACTGATCTGTAAATTCAATGCAATTGCAATTAAAATACCAGCAGGGTTTTGGTAGAAATTTATAGACTGATTTTAAAATTCATATGAAAAGGCAAATGTCCTAGAATAGCCAGAACAACTACACACGTGGAAAGATCTTCAACATCATTAGTAATTAGGAAATGAAAATTAAGACCACAGAGCCATACGACTGCATACCTACACAAATGGCTACACTTAAACAGGCTGACTATACCAAATATTGGCGAGAGCGGGAGGAACTGAAACCCTGATATGTTGCTGGTGGGAATACTAAAGAGCACAAGCACTTTGGAAAGTAATGCAGCAGTTTTCCAATGAGTTCAACCATGTCATCCAGCCATTCGACTATGGGCATTTTCCCCAAAAGGACAGAAACTGTGTGTTCCTACAAAGGCTTACCTATGAGTATTTATAGCACCTTAATTTATGATAGCAAACACTGGAAACAATCCACATGTCGGAATGAATAAACGATGGTATATTCATACAATGGAATGCTATTCTGCAATAAAAAGGAATAGATTACTACAACACATCACATGAACAAATTTCTACACAATTGCACTGAGTTACAACGGAGTTATGAAAGCCAAATTTAAAAACAGAACATACAGTATGATCGCATTGATATAAAATTCTGGGAAATGCAAACTAATGTATGGTGGTAGAAAGCAGATCTGAAGTTATCTGGGGATGGAGGAAGAGGATAAGAAGAGACAGGGGAAGGGATTCCTGAAAAAAGCATGATGAATGTTGGGAGGTAACAGATATGTTTATTTTCTTAATTGTGGTGGGAGGTTCATGAATATATAAATCAAAACGATCAAATCAGATATTTGAAATATTTGCCGTTTGTTCATTATTATCTCAATAAAGCTGTTAAAAAAATAAGAACAGCTTTTAACAACATAAAATTCCAACAGGTAAATACCAACTAATATCCTCAGGGACCTTGTTAAGGGCTAAAGCCTTGATTTATTATTCTACAAGAATGGCTGGATGTGAGCACTGGGTTACAGACACACTGTGGCGCCACGGTCTACACCCGATTATCTTGTCTCTAACAGGCCCTTCCTCTTCAGGACTTCTTTTCCCTTCATTTTTTGAAAAAAGAACTCTTCTCTATTCCTGCCACCACCACTATTTCAGATATTAGAGCAGGCCCTAAAGTTAATGTGAAGGGACCAGCAGTTAGCGTAATGGCTATGCCGCTGGACTCCCATGTAGTCGACTGCAGTTCGCGTCCCGGACCTGGTGGCTTAAAACTCACGCCGGGCACGTGTGCGTGTGTGTCCAAGATCCCGAGAGGAGAATGGAAGAGAAGGGATTGCGGCGTGGCCATCCCCCCTGGGGGTGATTTCTTGCTTTCTGTCTCTCTGTCTCTCTCTCTGTCTGTCTGGCGAGCGCATGTGCCCTATAGCAAAAACCTCTCAAAAAAAAAAAAAAAGTTAATGTGGAAACAACTCAACCATCCTAGGCACCCCACACTGTTCTATCCAGAAGAGAATGGTGTCCTCAACCAGGTGACAGTCCTGACAATTCCTATAGACATTCCTCACAGCTAAGGTCATCAATTCCAGGAGAAGAAAATGAGCAACCTCCACTAAAGCTTTATAGAGATCTTTTAGGACCAAGAAAACAAGAGGGGGCATAAATTGACGTGGAGTGAAAATGCAAGTACAGCAAGGCGGGACTAGGCAGCCTCTGGGAGTCACATTGTGGTTCTGCATTCCCAAAGCAAACTTAAATGTGGGGGTTTTCCCAGACAACACCCCAACCTCCAATGGCTCCCAAGGTGCTTGTCAAAAATAACCCCAACAGGCCCAGCTGCAGTGACGTGTGATGCTGAGTAGGCTGAGGCCACATGGGCCAGTTCTTTGGTTCAGTTTCCAATCCACCCTAAAATCTAGGCACAGGGGTGCACACCTGTAGTCCCAGGTACTCAGGAGGCTGAGGCAGGAGGATCACACCATAATGAAATTCTGTCTTTAAAAAAAAGTAACCTCTGGGACCAGCAGTTGGTGTGATGGCTATGTCGCTGGACTCCCATGTGGTCAACCGCGGTTCAAGTCCCGGACCTGTGGCTTAAACTCACACCGGGTGCAATGTGCATGCATGCCCAAGATCCCGAGAGGAGAATGGAGGAGGAGGGATTGCAGCATGGCCATCCCCACTGGGGTGTATGTGTTTGTGTGTGTGTGATTTCTTGCTTTCTGTCTCTCTCTGTCTTCCTGGTGAGCACACGCACCCTATAGCAAAAACCTCTCAAAAAAAAAAAGTAACCCCAAGTAACTAAGCTGCTCTGAGTAGGAAGCATTTCTTGAAAACGTTGAGGAGCATTCCCCTTTTGGGCCCTATTATGAATGATTTCTCCCACACTCCACAGCAAATCAGCTCTATTATCTCAGGCAGGTCACCTTCCCTGCTGGGCACACATGTCAGTGAGAGATTCAGCCTCTAAGATGGACTTGTGTTTATTTTCTTTTGTTTCCTCAAACCTTCATTGAGAATGTGCTTCGTGCCTCAGGGATTCGAAAATGAGCACCCTGTCCCTATTTTCTGGAAACTCACATTTCAGCATAGGGGAGAGGGACAGGTAAATATTGATCATTCAAAAAGTAGGATTATGCTAGGGTGAGTATGAGCTAGACTCAGATGAGAGGTCTGGGAAGGTGAGGACGACATCCTAGTGAGTTCTCCCTCTCCATATGCCCAACCACCACCTCGACGCAGACTAGAACCCCCAGCATGTGCTCCCAGTGCCTGGCGCAGACACTGTCCAGCCCACAGGCTGACGTTTCGCATGGGTAAGCTTTTACTTATCTGTCTAGTTCTGCACCCTCCCCCGCAGAGAGACCAATAAAACACTTAGTCCGATCCCCAATACACGCAGTGTTCTGGACTCCTGGATCCTCCGCTCCTGCTTCCCAAGGACCATGAGAGACGTGCTGCTGGCTCTTTCTGTGCTTTCGTTCATACCCCAAGTACTCCCAGGTAATCAGAACTGAGGCAGCTGCGAAAACGGAGGGAGAATGGAAGTCCCAATGTGCCACCACAGCCCCGCGGCCTGGGCAGCCCCACAGCGCCCACATTGAGACGATATCCCTTACAGGGTAGAACCTATGGGTGTTACAACAGACTCTATATTTCTACCCTCAGGAGAAAGGGGCAACCCTAACACCCAGAGTTGTCCTTGGTTCCATAATCCAAGGACCCAGGCCTGCCTCACTTTACTTCTCTTTCCACCTTGTGACAGCTCTTGGAAGGGATTTGCAAAGCCCACTTCCTTATGTTTTCTTGGCCCTCAACGTCTTGTGAAAGCTTGAAATGAGGTCCTTTGTGTTTTCCCATATTTAGTGAACAGAGCTGTTCTGTGGAGGATAGAACAGACTTCCCTCCTCCCTTCTCCCATGGAAGTCTAAGCTTTGAACAACCACTTGTCTTTTGAAGTATATTTAAAGTCGTGACCAGAACATCGACATTGCTGCTAAAGGGGATTGCTTTCACTTTTGTGGGACATCTTTCCAGGCACATTTCAATGTGTGATCAGTCTCACATGAAAACAAGTCTAGGGACCAGCAGTTAGCATAATGGCTATGTCGCTGGACTCCCATGTAGTCGACCGCGGTTGGCGTCCCGGACCTGGTGGCTTAAAACTCACGCCGGGCACGTGTGCATACGTGCCCAAGATCCCAAGAGGAGAATGGAGGAGAAGGGATTGCAGCATGGCCATCCCCCCGGGGGGTGATTTCTCGTTTTCTGTCTCTATCTGTCTGTCTGGCGAGCGCACGCGCTCTATAGCAAAAACCTCTCAAAAAAAAAAAAAAAAGAGTCTAAATATCTGGTTTAAAAAAAAAAGGCAAACACACTTTATGCACGGTTATGTAGTATTTTTCTTTCACTTAATAATATTTTGTGGCCATCCTCCCACGTGACCACAAAGAAAAGTTCTCATTCTTTACGGAGTTGGAAGGTTTCACTGTAGGACAAGCCAACACGTATGTATAATCATTTGGAACATTCCCTACTTTTCTAGCAACGCATCAATGCACATACTTATACGAATATGTTTACCTACAAGGAGACTCCAAAACACTTGTGGAAAATGGAATTAAAGTATGGATTCATTTTGGTGTAAAAAATTTTTCTTTAAATCCATGCACAGTTTTTTCGTAATGCACATTTTCCAAGAACTTTTGAAGACTCCTCGTATTTGGGCAGGGATTTATACAGAATGAACTCCTATATAAATGGCCAAGTTAAAGGTAAGTCTAAACTATTTTATTTCCAAAATTTTTTTTTTTTAATTTCATGAACTCCTCCCTTCTATGTCTCTTAGGAGGTTGCTAACAGAAATTGCCAGCTTTCAGGATTTGGGGTAATCTCCAGGTGCAATTCCGGATATGATCAGGGACCGTTCTGTGGGGTCCATATGGAATCAATTGTCTGCTTTGAATTCTGATGGGGTTTTTGAGACTAAGAAAGAGACAAATGTGAAAGATTTGTGAAAGCAATCCGTGGGTCATAGAAACTCAGGGTGTGTAGGAAGTGAAGGAAATATATGTTCTAGGGTTTCGAGCCTGAGGGTGCCAGTAAGCGATATAAATACGAAGCCATCCTCTTGGAAGAGTAGAAGTGCTGGGAAAAGCATGAATTCTTCATGCTTTATCTCGGATAGCCTCTACATTTAAGGAAGAAGAATAAAAATCAGAGATATTTATAGAGACCTCCTATTCTCTCATCACCAGAACATGAGGATTTTTTTAATCACCATAATCTAACATTCAGCACTACTTTTAGGAGTATAAAATCTCATGGGGCTAGCAGGTAGCATGGTGTTGTTGGATTGCCACATGGCTGACTGAGGTTCGAGTCCTAGTCCTGGCATCTTGCTTTCTCACTTTCTCTATTTCTCTCTCTGGTGAGTGCACATGCCGTACAGCAAAATTTAAAATAATGATAAGAATAATTAGTAAAATTAAATTTAAAAACTTATACTGTCATTTTCATCTACTTTTCTCTTTTTAAAATTATTTTATTTAACTTTTTATTTATTTATTTTTATTTTCATGTGACCAGATTGGGGGGAGGGTGGAGAGAGAGATAGAGAGAGAAAGTGAGAAAGCAAGCCGCCAGGTCCAGGACTCAAACTACGGTTGGCCATGTGGGAGTCCAGTGCCCTTAACCCCATGACTCCTGCCGGCCCCAATCTAGACTTACCTTATCCTGTGGTCAAAATGTAGGAAGGGCTGGGAACCAGCAGTTAGCGTAATGGCTATGTCACTGGATTCCCATGTAGTTGACCGTGGTTCGCATCCCGGACCCAGTGGCTTAGAACTCACACCAGGCGCATGTGTGTGCGTGCCCAAGATCCTGAGAGGAGAATGGAGGAGAAGAGATTGCGGAGTGACCATCCCCCCTGGGGGGTGATTTCTCGTTTTCTGTCTCTATGTCTCTCTCTGTCTGTCTGGCAAGCGCATGCACCCTATAGCGAAAACCTCTTAAAAAAAAAAAAATGTAGGAAGGGCTTCCTTTCAATGACCTGCAAGACTATGTGATCTCAATCCTCATTATATTTTCTCCAGTTACTCTCCACTTAACTTTTTCTGCACTCACCAGAGACATTTTATGTTTGTTTATTTCTTTAAGTTTAGGGATAGATCTTGCCTTTGTGCCTTTGCATTTGCCGCCTCCTCTATCCGGGACACTTTCTCCCCAGTGAGTCTCCTCACTTACTCTCTCGCTTCCTTCCCAGTAAGATCTTTTCCTACCTCTCTTTCAATCCCACACTTCCCTCCCCAGCTATGGTTTGAATGTCCCCACCAAAACTCATGTTGGAATGTACTTGTCAATGTAATGGAACTGGGAGGTGAGATCTTTAAGAGGTGATTACGTCATGAGGGTGGAATAGATTAATGCTGCTACTGCTGGAGAGAGTTAGTTATCTTGAGAATGGATTTCTTATGAAAGCGCATCCACCAATTTTCTGTCCTGCCTACCCATTTCCACCCTCTGCAGTGGGATGAGGCTCTCACCAGATGCCGGCAACGTGTTCTTGGATGTCTAGCTTTCAGAGCAGTGAGAAAAAAATTTCTTTTCTTTATAAATTACTCCATCTGTGGTCTTCTGGTATAGCAGTGAAAAAGGACTAAAAGACACCTTCTCCCTTGCTTGGTTTTTCTCCACAATGCTGACTCATCTGTGTCTGACTATTTTACATAAAGTGTCTTTTACTTTCTTCTCTTACTTATCACATTACTAATTGTTTCTGAAAATACTGTATCTTCTTTTTCTTTACTTTTATTATTATTCTTTTTATATTGCATTTAATCTTTTTTTTTTTGAGAGAGAGAGATTTTTGCCATAGGGCGCGTGCGCTCGCCAGACAGACAGAGAGAGACATAGAGACAGAAAGCAAGAAATCACCCCCCAGCGGGGGCTGGTCACGCCGCAATCCCTTCTCCTCCATTCTCCTCTCGGGATCTTGGGCACGCACGCACACGTGCCCGGTGTGAGTTTTAAGCCACCGGGTCCGAGACGCGAACCGCGGTCGACTACATGGGAGTCCAGCGACATAGCCATTACGCTAACTGCTGGTTCCCGCATTTAATCTTTTTTATATTATATTTCATTTATACCTTTACCTTTATACCTTCTCTTTTCAGCACGATTACCATGCTTATCAGTCAAGACAAAGGCATTACTCTCCACACCAGCAGCAGCAAATAGCTTTTCATTTGTTTCCAGATTATAATTGTTCTTATTTTTTTAACATACACTCACTATATACATCATTTGACTTATAAAGAGAATTAATCTAACATGAACTACTTCTCAGACTAGTCCAGTTGAGAATACTATACATGCTACAAACAGGTAATAAACCAGTTCTGTGTTCCACAAATGTCATGCTTACTTATCTCCTGCCCTCCTTCTCTGCACCCTTCCCTTCTTCCCCCTCCCCCATCCCACACTGCTTTCAGTGTCCATAATTATTTTCACTGTTTTTATGCCCGCCAGTATTTCAGTCTCTACCATAAAGTGTGGATAGTTGGTATATATTAAGTGGATACATACAATATCTTTCTTTTATAGCCTGGCTTGCTTCATTCAGCAAAAAAAAATCTTCTATATTTGACCCTTTCTATCAAATGCCAAGGTCTTGTTATTTTTTTATGGCTGAAAAGTATTCCATAAAGTATATGTGCCATACTTTTTCACTTTAATTTTTTAAATTATTTTATCGAATTTTATTGTATTTATTTATTTATTTTAATTTGACCAGAGAGGGACAGAGTGAGAGAGAGAGGGGGAAAAGGGAGAAAGTAAGAAAGCAAGCTACCTGGTCCAGGACTCGAACCGTGGTCGGCCACGTGGGAGTCCAGTGCTCTTAACCACCACACCACCTGCTAGCCCCATGTGCCATGCTTTTTCAATCCATTCATCTGTTAATGGACATTTGGGTTCGCTCTGTGTCTTCGCAATCATGAATAATGCCGCAATAAACACTAATGTACAAGTGCTTTTCGAATGAGCATTCTCCCGTCCTCTGGGTAGACACCCAAAAGTAGGATTGCTGGATCAAATGGTAGTTCTATTTGTAGATCTTTGAGGAACCTCCCTATCGTTTTCCACAGTGGCTGGACCAATTTTCATTTCCACCAACAGTGTAGCAGAGTTCCACTTTCAGCACAACTCCGCCAACACTTATCACTTTTTATATTTTTAATCTTCGCTGTTCTGACAAAGGTTCAGTGGTATCTCATTGTGGTTTTAATCTGCATCTCCCTTAAGACTATATCTTCTTGAGAGCAGAAGGTTTGGTCCGTCTTTGAATGGATATAATCTCTTACATCTTGAACACTGGGCATTCAACAAACACTTCTTGAATGAATAACCACATGGCTATTTCCACTTCTGCTCATTGCCTGTCTATATTCTTTGCCTGTTGTCCTATGGGCAGTTGTGCATTCTTACTGATATGCAGAAGGGGT